CTCCCTTAACTCGCCCTCAAATCCGAGGAAGGGGAATCGGGAATTGTGTATACATATATGTGTATGTATATATATATATGTATATATATATATATATATATATATATATATATGTGTGCATGTGTGTGAGTGTATATCCTTCAGGTGTCGGATTGTTAGGCGGGGCGCGAAAACCACGGAGCGATACGCGAGTCACGTGTGCAGCAGCAGGGGAGGCTCGTCCTCCTGATTATTGATGTGAAGCATTTCTGTGTTTCTGGGCCTCTGGGAGCCTCCGAAGCCTGAGAAGACCTTCGGGGGGCTCTGGAAGCCTCTGGTGACCTCCGAATACCGCTCGAGACCTCCAAAGGCCTCCCGAAACCCAGGCGCAGGCATCCCGCCCGGACAGACACCACACACACGCGCACAGGCCCGAAAGAACCAAGAAGGAAAGCTCGAGTGGGACGCACAAAGACACACTTGGATGTACTACGTGTCCTCCTTGTAGGCCCGCGTCCGACCCGAACATACAGCATGCCCATCTTGTAGAATATCGTTCCCGAGCGGCGTGGGCAGAAAGCGCCCGGCACGACGCACATACTAGAAGATCTCTCGGTGCGCGCGTCGCCCCTGGGGGGACGACGCACAGATGGCATCAGCATGCTGGGGTGACGCCGATCGACGGGATGAAGATCGAACCCAAAGCTGGGCGATGACTCCCGTTCCGCCCACGATGGCGAGGGCCTCTCGAGAGCGCCTGGTCACATCTCCGACGGCGCTTCTCCGGAACGCTGCCCGCACGCTGCCCCCCCTCCCCCCTGGCCACGTCGTCGTCCGGGGACGCGACGGCGAAAACAGGAAGAACGCAGGGGAGGTGACGAGCTGGGCCAGGAATTGCCAGAACTGTGCCCTGGCAGCGTGGCCGACATCCGGCCGCAGCCTGGGCCTCTCACGGGGGGGCTGAAGGGAGGATGACGAAAGGCGAGGCAAGGCGAGGGCGATGAACTCAAGAGGGCAAAGAGGGAAATGAAATCCCACCGTGGACAGGACTGCAGCTCACAAGAGCACGAATTTCAGCTCGAGGCCAGCAGTGCGCCTTGCCAGAGCCCGGCAGGGCACCCTGCAACAGCCTTGCAACAACCCACTCCTCCTCCCAGGCCTTCTGGCCCAAAGAGCAGCGTCAATAAGGTCAGATCCTCCATCCCAAAACGTCCTGACGAACATAATCCTGAGCGCGAGCATCCACTGGCTAACGCTGCTTGCACACCAATAGTTTACATCATGTGTGCGAAGCACTAGCGGCTGCACCAGGAGACACAAAATCGACGAGGCGTCCGCAAGCTGCTGCAGCTCGCGGTCACGAGGCCCAACAAAGTGGGAGCACATCGGGTCTCGAACCTCAGCCGCCTCATCCTCCTCCTCCTCCTCCTCCTCCTCCTTTTCCTCCTCCTCCCCCTCCTCCCTCCTCCTCCTTTTCCTCCTCCTCCTCCTCCTTTTCCTCCTCCTGCACCTCCTCCTCCTCATCCAGTGGGAGTCTAAGGACAGCGCGGTCTCAAACAGACAGAGGAGCCAAACGCCGTCCGGCGCGTAGTCGGAATATGGCAGCAGGCTTTGGTTGCTGCTTGCAGGAACGAATTAAAATTGAGCATCGGTAGCGAAATTCGCAGCGAAATGGCGCCAGCTGCGCTCGTCGCCAATGCAATTCTGCATGGCGGCTTCAGAAGCGAAGCGCGGGGCAATTTTCTCGTACAAACAGTTCGCCCACTCGTGCCTGGGTCGCCCCCGTGCTCTCCGCACCCTCCGGGTCGCGGGTCGCAGGCTGCCAGTCTCGAAGGTCAGCGCGCGAAGCACATCACCGTCGTCCGCTCTGCCAACTTTCCCGAACCAGAGCAGCTGGTGTCGCAAGAGCTGAGATGTGTAGCTGAGTTGTCCGGCCTGCTCGAGCACCGTCTTGTTCGACACCCTCGAGACATATGCATGTGGTATAAGTAGAATACGACGCAGGCAGCGAGCTTGAAATCCATCGAGTCTTCTTCTCTCCGCCTTGTTTAACCAAGCAGTGTTCAAGGAGTACATAAACTTTGTAGCAACGACCGATTGAAATACTTCCAACTTCCTGGCTGTGGTAATCGATGAATGCTTCCAGGTGCGTTCAAAATCAGAAAATACGCCCCATGCCATTCCCAGTCTTGTGGTAAGTCCTCCTCCAAGCGCGCCTGTGATGTACAGCGTGGCCCCCAAATACTTCATGCACTCTTTCGCTACGATTGCGGCGCCTCCAGGGGCGACCACTTGAACGTCACACTTCACGCACATCAGCTGGAATTTGCCCCAATGCAAATCCATCCCGAACATTTTTCCGGCGCCCGCCACAGCCTCCAGGAGCAGTTGCAGATAGTGTTGGGATTTGCCCACCAGCAGCATGTCGCCAGCATACAGCAGTATTGAAATTTGCCCTTCGTCCAAGGCCTCGCGCGCGTCTGCGGGCAACTTGTTCCTGGCCTCTCGGATGACCACAGACATCACCAGAACGAACAGGAAAGGAGACAACGGGCAACGTTGTGAGATCCCAGATTCTTCTGATCGCGATTGGGACGTAATTCGCCCGTCCGCTACGCAAAAGTGCCTGTTCTCGTAGATATTACCGATCATGTGCAGCATGGACTCTGGGACACCGAAGGCGCGAAGAGCATTCAGCATGGCGCCAACATGTAGTGAATCAAAAGCCTTCTTCCAATCCGGTGCCACCATTGCTGTTTTACCTTCCTTTTCTGCGCGCGCTAAATCGACGTGTCTTCGCACTGCGCGCATTGCGTCCGAAGTCCCCCGCCCTCGGCGAAATCCAAACTGCGTCTTTGTTAGTCTGTCCTCCGCCCCCGCCTCTTGCAACCTTTTGAGTAGTGGGCTTGCCAGGAGCCTGTAGCTAATGCACAAAAGGCTAATCGGTCTGTAATTGTCGCATTCGTCGATGGGCCCCTTGTTCTTGTAGATCGCGCTGATAACTGCATGCTGCCAATCGCTTGGCACCGACTTCTCCCTCCAACACTTGTCCATCAGGTCTGTGATCCACTCTAGCCCCCCAGGCGCATCTGCAAGTGTCTTCCAATACTCTGCTGGGATGTCGTCGGGGCCGGCCGCTTTGCCACGCTTGAGTTTACGCACTGCTGCCTTGACCTGTCGCTGCGCGAAGTCTGCCTCCGATACCGGCAGAGAGGGGCCGAACGGCTCCAAAGGCGCAACATCTGCAGGGCGAACATGCCATTGACCTTTTTCAAGATACTCCGCCATGGCATCTGCCCGGCAGCTGCTGTCCACAAGGTTGCCCTCCAGATCCTTCAATCTGCCTTGCTTCCGGGCGCGAGGCTGGTCGGCTCGCCTCAGGGGGGCCCAACTCCCAGCAGCAATTTGGTCGTTCATGCACGCTGTCTTGTCGCGCCTCGCTGATTTACGAATCTGTTTCAGGAAGTCTTTGACTGCAGAGTGGTTGTTTTCAAGCCTCGCTTGGGTACGAAGGTCGATCAGGTCCAGCGTGCGCTTGGAGATCCATGGCTTTTTACACGTACTCCTCCAACAAGGGAGTACCTCTCTCGCTTGCGCCATGCCGGCTTCGGCGTCGTCCCACATGCTTTGCACACCGAAGCAAAAATTACGAGCAGCTCGGACTAAAGGTGGGCGATCGACCGTCGCCCAAATGTTTTTTGCCTTCGTGCTGAATCTTGGCATTTCGAAGCTGGTTCGCCACCGTGTTCCTGTCGTCGGTTGAACTGAACTCCATGAACAAAATGTTTTTGGATTCCCCTTTTGTGTAAATATTTGATGGTGTGGGGGCCAATAGCTTCTGCAATTCATGTTTCATCCAATCCCCAGCGGCCTCAATCGATCCAAACCCGTCTAAATTTCCAACCACCGCCGTGATGTCCCGCTTGTCTGTGGCATGGCTGTGCCCAGGGAGAGGTGCGTGACCTTGTGCAGGCGCCCGGAGACGAGAAACTTCACGTTCAAGCTCTGCGAGTTTCGCCTGCGTGGCCGTGTCCACGGACGCTCCGGATGCCGATCTTGCTGACGTCGGCCGGGAAGAATAATTTGTTTCAAGCAGTCCCACTCGTTTGGTCAATGCGTCGATCTCGGTCTTGATGGGATTGATGGTGTCGCTTAAGTCTTTTCGTGATACGCCGTGCGTTTTGATAGCCTGGATGTCATTCCTGATGGGGTCGAGGTGGTGGTTCAGAATCGTCTCAAAGTCCTTGGCGGTCAGGGGCTTGTCCGCGGCTGCGTCCATGTACTCTTGAAATTGCTGTTGACGCACTGCTATTGCCTCAGGTTCTGCTGCCATAGGCTGTGGCTCCTGCGGAGGGCTGCTCCCCGTCCTGGCCTGCTTCAGCGCGCTCTTCACCGGAGTCCCCATGTGGTGCTTTTCCGCCGGCATTTTCGCAGAAACACGAGCACCCAGAAACAATCAAGGTCTGTGTAGTAATGGGAGGCGGATGTAGGGGTGAGCGGATGTAGGGGTGAGCGGATGGGAGGCGGATGTAGGGATGAACGGATGTAGAGGTGATGGCCAACAGCTTGAGCCTTGAGCCAAAAATACCGAGAATCCCACCAGTCCCTTGGGGCGTAGGTGGTCTAGGGTGTTTTGTCTTCCCTCTGCCCCAATTTCCCTTCGGACCTCAGTCCTTCTCCCTTCCTCCCTCCTTCAAGCCATCCTTTCTCTTGCATACGTCACCCCCTCCCTCTTGTGTGACCCTCCTCTCTATACACCACCATGTATCAATCCGTCCTCATCTCTCTACAATATGCCTCTACCCTTCTCTTGACATCTCGCTCAATCCGTGTCACCCTCGTCAGCCTCATCCTCCTCGACCCTCCCCCACTCGATCCTGCACCTTCCATCACCAACCTTCGCTCCTCATCCCTCGCCTCCGTCCCCTCCACACATATCCGTCCCCGTCCCCTCTTCTTTCCCCACTCCCACACCCACCACCAGCATCTCCTCTCGCCCTCTGACGCTCGACACCCCGAGCCTCTGGATGGTCCTGACACAGGTCGTCAAGCTTCACCTGGTGCGACAGTGGAGGAAGAAGAGGAAGGGGATGGAGAGGATGAGGAAGAGAAAGAGAAGGTTACACGACAGCAGGACGAGGAGGACGGGCTGGAGTTGCATGACGACGACGAGCGTAGATGGGGAAGGAGGGGCAGAATCGCGATCACATGCCTCCTCCTCCTCCTTTTCCTCTTCCGCCTCTTCCGCCTTCTCAGATTTCTGTTGATTCCCCCCCGCCCTCCTCCCGCATCCCTCCTCCCTCTTCCCCCCCCCCTTGCCCTCACCCATCCCCCTAGTACATACACCCTCATCCCACGGTTCTCATCCTCTCCTCCTCCTCCTCCTCCTCCTCCTCCTCCTCCTCCTCCTCATCCTCCTCCTCCTCCTCATCCTCCTCCTCCTCCTCCGCAGCTGGCATGATCGGCGTCCCACGGAGGAGCACAAAAAAATCCTCCTCCTCCTCCTCCTCCTCCTCCTCCTCCTCCTCCTCCTCCCCCGCCTCGTCCTCCTCCTCCTCCTCCTCCTCCTCACCACCACCATCCTCAACGTCACCCTCACCCTCACCCTCCACATCCTCATCCTCCTCTCCCTCGCCACGACTCGTAAGACGACGACTGTACGCCTGGAACTGCGCTCTGGCCTCCCGCGGACGGCACGGGCCGCGGCACGAACGGCCTGCGAAGCACCGCCCAGCCCCGTGCAGAGCCTCGGCAGAGAAACCCAAGAGAAATACGGCGGGTTTGTGTCGTGACGACCCCAGCGATGGTTTCTGACATCGCGTTGATCGTTCAACCTTGAACGATCGGCGGCTTATCGATTGCCATATCGTTCCATATTAGGACGATTCTGGGCCACTGGCGGCGTTCAACCTTGAACGCCCGCGGCGGGGTCGCGACGAGTCGACACGACGCGAACCTACCGTATCTCACCAGATGCGTATTTCCCCCCCACGGCAGCTGCTGTTCAAGACGGGCGCCACTGTCGAAGGACCCAAAGTCAGGGAGTGAATGGGGAAGGGAGGGGGGGAGGGGGGTCTCAGTGCTCAGCACGGCCGAAGCGTTGACTAAATGTGCCCAGACGGTGCTTGGACTTACCTGTACGACCACCCAAGGGTTGGAGGGTGGGGGGGGAACGAACCAATTGCTGGTAAATGCGACGGGTGTGATGATGACGATGCTGGTGGCGCGCCCTCGAGCTAGCGACGACGCGTGACGACGATGCTGCGCTGCGATGTAATGTCACTATCGTCCCCGCTTTCGATCTCATTCGATCTATCCCACTATCGACCTCACATGATCGATCACTCTCGATCGATATCACTGTAGATCTCACTGTGTATCTCGCTTTCGATCTCCGATCTCACTATCGATTCCTCTATCGCTCTCACTACCTTTCTCACTGTCGATCTCACAACCAATGTCTCAATCAACCTCACTGTCGATCTCACTTTTGATTTCACTATCCATCCCAATCTAACGATATCATGATCGATCTCACTATCGACGTCACTATCGGTACCAAGGCGGGACAACCCCGGCCAACGCCCGCCCATCGCCGACGGAACACCGACAGGACACCAACGGGACACCAACGGGACACCACAGGATACCACGGCGGGACAAACCAGGCCACAGCGCGCCCACCGGAAGCGGAGGGGCGATCCACTGCATCCGAGTCGCCCTAGCGACGGCGGGGTCAGTCCTCTCGCGCGCCCACGCAGCTTCGCCTCGCCCGCACGCACGACACGAACACGAAAATGAAACCGATGTCCCGGTGGGGGGCTCTTCGTTCCACTGCGAACTCACCCCCCAACCTCCGATGGTTTTTCGTTTGCGATCTTAGGAATTGGCCCTGTTCGGCGTGAACTTCACACGGTACAATGATTCCAAGCGCCTCCAAGAGGTTCCACCCCGATTGCCTTACCCTATAAGGTCCCACCCCATGGCATCCCACCTAGTAGGGCCCCACCCCACAGGATCCCACCCCGTAGAGTCCCTCCCGCAAGGATCCCATCCCGTGGGGTCCCACACCACAACGTCCAACCTCGTAGGGTCCCAGGGTCCCATCACATAGCGTCCCTCCCTAGGAGGTCCCAAACCATGGGATGTCGACCCGAGGATCTCACACCATGGGGTCCCGCCCGTCAATTACACCCTGCAGATTGATATCCCGAGCTGTGTGAAACAATTTCCTCGACTGATCCAGAAAAGCCGACCGCCATTTCTCTAGACACATGAATGTGAAGGGGCCCTGGGACACACAAATAAATACACACAAATAAACATAGTCCCCATATTTTCCAATATTTTCTGGGTTCTGTCTTCCCGCCCACTTCCCATATT